CTAACTTTGGGAACTACCCATATGCTTTAAGCACACTCACCGGAGATCGCGCGTAGATGCTTTCTCGGTTTGGCAGCAAGTACCCTTGGAAAATGCCTCTCACGCAAAGACTGGACTATTGCATGTCAAGATGCAGAACACAGGTCAGGTTGCACATTGTGGGAAACTGTTCTGCTGGTTGCGGTAGCAAGATGTAACTTCGAAAAGGTGCGTTGAGTTTCGGGAACCGCTAGTTTATATAACATTACATCACATGTACAGCCTCTTGAAAATTATATTTGGAATTGGGTTCCATCCTTTGAAAGCCATCCAGAATATCGTCTTCTCCTCATTTTCAGTTCTTGTCTCATGGTTTGCGACTGCTGCCCTTCGTCCGCCTGCTGCAGCTGCCCAGAAGCAGCTGCTACCACCTCTTGCAGGTGGACACGCAGTTGGGGAAGCAGCAGGCCATCATTGAGCGCAGCGATGAGTACAACCAGGATTCTGCGCCGCCAGACCTGCAGATTGTTTCCCAAGCACCCAGACACCAGGGCCTTCAACTTGAAATCGCTCTTTAAGGCATTCCAGATGGTTTATGGAGGACTACAGAGATGGCAAAGGGTTTTGTGCGGCTTGTAGGCCACAAGGCTAGGTCTCCCAAAGCAGAGTATGGGATTGAAGTTTCTTAGCAAATATACTGGTGCTGGGAGGAAACGAGCATTTCTGGACTGACCACTCCACTCTTCGAAGAGGACCCTCAAAGTTCGGAATAACGATCCCCCATGTTCAGCTACTACTGCTGAACTTCCAACATCTGGAAGCCAGATGTTCCAGTCTCAAATTCGGCTCGGAGCTATTTCCCAACAGGCAGTTTGACTCCAGCAATTTACAGAGTTGCAATGTGCAGGAAGCCTCCTCATTCCATCGTGAGGCTCCACCCCCTTAGAGTCAAGGATGCAATCCTGTGAAGAGGGATTGGTCTAGTGTCGTGTCGAGTTTCATTCAACTGTTGTCAGAACTTCTCCAGCTGTGACCTAGCCAGCCTTCGCAAACTCCTTCCCGGATCCTGCAAGACATGGAAGCAAAGTCCAGGGCTCTTCAAACATCCCTGGAAACACCCCAAGCCCTAAACCCTCAAGCCCTGACGGACCCAAGGTTTGTGACTTTCGAAATCCGCCACGATGCTGTGATCGTCCTGAAGCTCTTCTCGGCCAGTGGCCAGGGAGACGAAGACATTTTGGCCACGCGGCCGGTTTCCTACTGGTGCGTAAGGAGGTACCAATGTAGGGGTATGTATATATATTAAGGGCTGACGCCGCTGCCGC